GGGGGGGTAACTGAGAAATTAGTATTGTTCTTGTTGTCTCAAGTTGTGACATCAATAAAGCTTAGCTGATAGGCTGGCAGGCAGTGCCGTGGTTGATGGTGAGGTGAAATTTGACAAAGGAGAAGTGTTGAAGACCCTGGAGAAAAAGTTGCGGGGGGATGAAGAAGACATGGAGACAGCAGAACACCACGCTACCATCGGATGCGGGAAATGGGGGTAGAGAGGGGAGAAGGAAGAAAGGAACGATTATCTGGAAAGGAAAGAGGTTGCCATAATCAGACAGCCACTGGAACAATCAGTATGGATACCTTGCGGACTTTGGTGCTGGGGGGAACTGAGCACTTATGGACCTGTCCGGTGTGCAATGACGTTGTTGCCCAGGACAGATAATACAGGTAATACAGGCAGGAAGTGTATTGTAGAATAATTTTACACAAATTCAACTATGTTCTACCACCCGTAAGTAAGGTGTGGATAACATCCGTCTCTGAAGAGCCCAAGTCTGGAATCAAGAAATCAAGTAATTAAGTAATTTTGTTCTGCCCCGCTTTCTTCCCCAGTTTGGCTGGACACACGTCACGTTGTTGCTGGTTGTTGTCCAGTCTCACTTCATTGTCCAGAATGTTCTGGAAGGTCTTATTTGGTAAGTTTGTCTTTTGCTTTATTTGTGAATCTTTTTTCATTAAGTTTATTAAAGTTAATTGATTTTTGTTCAAATTACTTTTTTTCTGTCTCTCCTTGCGTGGGTGATTGGAGAGCACCGCTGATGGTAGAAAATATGTAAATTTGCAGTTTCCAAGCTTTGGTGACCTTCTTACTTCTGGTACCAGGACGGGCACCAACCTCAATCACAAATATCTCGACTTCTATTCAAGATAGATACTTCTTTCATCACCAGCAAGACAAACGGACAAACTTTGAAAAGATATCAATATCAAGATAAATGGGTAGGCTATCTTTTTTCATCAAATGCAAGATCTTACTTCTTTTCTCTCCCTCTTGTTTCTGTCTATCTGTCTGTCTTGCTTCTTCCCAGCACCGTCTGACCATTATAATTGTGACAATGTGCCTCTCTTCACTCGAACTCATACTGACCCTCCTGGCTTCTCGATACACTGAGAGAGAGAGAGCTACTTTTAAGAACCTCACCTACTGAAAGTTGGATAATATTCATGTGTTGAAAAAATGTATTAAATTTTTGTTGTTGCTTTTTCATGTGTGGAATGCATGCAGAAATGAGCCTAGTTTAGAGAGAGTACATACACCGTGTGAACTAAAAGTGTAAACCTCACTTGAGCAGTGATCACTTTAACTTTTCACCAGAGCTGTCATCTATCTACATCTATAGTCAAACCTGCTCTACTCTAAGGGCCACCAGGTCAACACAATCACATCACAAAAGATTTTTCCTGTCCCCGCAGTTTTATATACCCCGCTTAATTTAGCAAAATTCGATCATTTTTTTGCATAATTTCTGATTATTTTCGTTTATCATTCTTTGTTAAAATTAACAGAATCGCATAATTTCACATTTTTGGGCTCAGTTTGCATAATTTCAGAATTTTTTTTCCATAAAACCACGGTGACAGCTTTTCACTTCCCTCCCCCCTAACATTTTTTTTTGGGGGGGGGGGGGTATATTACAACAACACTGTCGTAGATGCCAACCTGTCTAAGAGAACCACTTTTCTCCTCTTCAGTGGGTGGCTGTGCCGTCTTGGACAATTTTGACTGAAATTGTGTCAAATTTCGACTTTCCGGGTCAACTACCTTTGAAGTGTCAAGTTTTCATCCTTTTGTATTCTGTCCAATTCTGCATCTGTCGAAGTCTGCCTCTTTGATAAATGTTCTTTAGGGTTCTCTTTCCTTTGTCTTTTCCAGGCTTCTTGTTCCAGTGTCGATGATCATCTGCAATGATATTATGGCATACATCTTTGGATTCTTCTTTGGAAGAACACCGCTGATCAAACTTTCTCCAAAGAAAACTTGGGAGGGCTTCATTGGAGGAGCTTTCTCTACCATCATTTTTGGTATTATGGTAAGTCTGCCTGCCTGTTTTTTGATTGTGACGATGAAGGTTCCGAATAACCTTTGAGATCTGGGACTGACAAAATGTTAAAGGCTATAGAAGGAAGTCATCTTGAGTATCTATTCTTTTTACAGGGATTTTGTTTTCCAATGTTGCCATTAGTATTGTTAGCTACGTAATTTTCACTGAGGAAAAAAAAAAATCTGATTATTGCTCACAACATTTGATTTCTGTTTAACTCCAAATTAGTTGTGTTTATTCTGTCGTTTTGCTTCTTTGCAAATGCAACTTTGTAAATTTTAAGGTATTTTCACAAAATCCTAATGGCGTCCCTGATCTTAACAAGTGTTTGGAATTTAGAATCCATAATTTTTTTAAAGTGCTGTGGAATGGAAATAAAACGATGATGAGGTTCTTCAGCACTTGACTTTATATTTACAGTCAAACCTGCTATATGGGTGGTTGGCGGGGGCTCTGGTGTGGTTTGCTTCTTCTTTCCTATCAAACATCTATCGTCCTTATCTCTGCTCCTTCTTTTTTGTGTATGTTACTCTCTTGTAACACCTCTAATCTTCGGCACTTATTTGACCTTACAGTGCTTGCAAGTGCCGTAAGATTCTTTCTAAAAACTAAACTAAAACTAATTTTGGGTTTAACTTCGTGTTTTGATGATATCATTTTTCCTGTTCGAAGTTTTGGTCTTACTCGTCGTCACATAATATATGATTTTGAACTTGATTTAATGTTTGAAGACTGGATGGACTTACGACCCATGTTTTTGGGTGGGGGTTTCTTTTTTTCTATTTTTTGTTTTGGTCAGCTGTCATAATTTTTGGTTTTTGTTTTGGCCAGCTGTCATATTCTTTTTGTTTCCGTTTTGTTTTTCCTCCCAGCTGTCGTATTGCCTGCTGCAGTACGACTACTTTGTGTGCCCGGTGAGCTACAACGAGGCGACAGAGGGGCTGTCCATGGACTGCGAGCGCTCCCACGTGTTCGTCATCTCCGAGTACAGCCTCCCCGAGGCGGTGCAGACCTTTCGCAAAATGGTATGGAGGATAGTCAGATGGTCGTTGTGGGTGGGTGGTTGGCAAAATGGTAGGGAGGATAGTCCAGATGGTCGTCATGGGTGGATGGTTGGCAAAATGGTACGGAGGATAGTCCAGATAGTTGTTGTGGGTGGGTGGTTGGCAAAATGGTACGGAGGATAGTCCAGATAGTTGTTGTGGGTGGGTGGTTGGCAAAATGGTACGGAGGATAGTCCAGATGGTCGTTGTGGGTGCTTAGCGGGTGCTCTGGTGTTTTTTGCTCCTTCTTCTTTCCTGTCAAACATCCATTGTCCTTTAAATCTTTCTTCCTTTTTTTTTTTTGTGTGTATGTTGCACTCTTGTAACACATCTATTCTTCGGCACTTATATGACCTTATTGTGTTTTAAGTGCCGTAAGACTTTTACTTAAAGTTAAAGATAGTTGTCGACATTGGCGGGGGGAAAAATGTACAGTATGATTTTCAGGGATGAAACTTAGATCAGTTTTCACAAATTTTTGCCTTTTTTTCCTTTCTTTTTCTCTTTTTTTTTTGGAGAGGGTTGGGCGTTTACTGTTGCCTCTAAACTCATGTTAAGTTTTTGGAGAAAGAATGGAGACAATGATGGAAATATGTAAGATCTTTTAAACTCATGAAGGCGTTGAAATTCACAGTAGATTTACCACATGGTATCATAAACATCTAGATAGTTGTCTCTCCCCCCCCCCCCCCTCCCCCTACACATGCAGGCACAAACACACAGACACACCCACGCACACACACACACACACACACACACACACACACACACACACACACACACACACACACACACTCACACTCCCCCCCCTCCCCTAAAGAAACCCCTACCTCCTCCCCCAAATACCTGTGTATCCAGAGAAACAAACCCATGGTCTTCCATAAAGTAAAAAACTTGACTCATATGCCCCTCCTTGGAGGTCACAGGCATTGCATTAGGGGCTAAATTTACATATCTTATGGAATTTGTCGTTTCCTCTTTGTTTTTAACAGTGCTTGATGAAGCCCACGTAGGGCGTTCAGTGTTAAAAACAATCAGGAAACAACAGATACAATTTTTGGGACACCTGAATAGACATAAGGGTCTTGAACATCTAGCTTTCGCTGGAGGCAGGGGTAGGCCCAGAGCAACCTACTTCGGGAACCTAATCAAATGGGTAACAGGGAAAGATCAAGGAAACGTAGCTTTTTTAAGAGCATCCGAGCAAAGGAATGAATGGAGAACCATGATCGCCGATGTCTGTCACAGATCTGACACTGGATGATGATGATGAAATTTAGAAATCTAATGAACTTTTCTTTTTGGTCCTTTTTCATCTAGTTTGGGTTCCAGAAGGCGACCGTTAGCTTGTATCCCTTCATCCTGCACTCCATCTCCATGTCCATCTTCGCCTCCGTTATCGGACCGTTCGGAGGCTTCTTTGCCAGTGGCTTCAAGAGGGCTTTCAAAATCAAGGTAAGATCTTGTTTAACCCACTCAGTACCACTGGATTTCCAGTGGGAAGATGGCTCAGGACCACGCAAAGGGGAATAAATCCATGTTTGTGATGTAGTGGGTATTTTAAAAAAAATCATTATAAAATAACCAATCCATTGATCAAAAAAAATCTTGAAACAAGTTCTTCTCAAATGAATAAATTTTAATTTATAAATTACTTGTTTACTGTGTGTGTTGACTGTATTTCATAATTGAAGATCAAATCAGCCGAGTTGTAGATCTAGATCTAGATCTAGATCTAGTCATATGCTCCTCATTGACCTCATTCTCATTGTCCGAATCACCCCCCAAAGGCACAATTAGATCACCATCAATGTCACTTTCACTTCAATTGCTACTATTCTGTGGGTTTTCTCCCCCAGCACTGTTATTTTCATTAAAATTATCCAAAAGGTCACCTAAATCAGTCTGAACGCGATGCCGGCGGCTTGTGAAGAACGCTCGATCTTAGCTTGCGCGACCCGTGTGAACTGGTTTGTTTACATTGAATTTAGTCCAACTAAAATTTCCAGAGTTATGTCCCTGCTGCTCTCAAGGAGAGAATGATTATCTATTTTCTGATTGGTCGAAATGCGGGTTAAATACGATGGTTACCAAGCGTGTACACTTCCCTAGAAACAACGCTACTAGCGCGCGGCCGGCTACGGCCGTAATGGTACTAGGCTTATGAAGACGGAAGCCCGTTATGGTACTGAGTAGGTTAACTCTGAAAACCCTCTTTTTTTTTTCGACTTTATGTTATTATCATACAGCAAGGAATATCTTTGATGTAATTTTGCGAGACATATTGTGGGATTTTATTATTTTGCGATAAAAATAATTTTCTCCAGAAAGTTGTGTGACCAGTTTGAGAAAATAGCATTGTTTGATTGTGTTATTCTTTTTGTTTTCGTGCTCTTGTGTGGTTTGCTTCTTCTTTCCTATGAAACATATATCGTCTTTATCTCCCCTCCTTCTTTTTTTGTGTTGTGTTACTCTCTTGTATCTTGTAACACCTCTAATCTTCGGCACTTATATGATGACCTTATTGTGTTGCAAGTGCCGTAAAACACTTACTAAAACTAAACATCTATGTTCTTTATCTTCCCTCCTTCTTTTTGTGTTTGTTACTCTCTTGTAACACCTCTAATCTTCGGCATTTATATATGACCTTATTGTGTTGCAAGTGCCGTAAAACTCCCAACTAAAACTAAAATCCTCTGTTTCCCCTCTTTTGTCCTCAGGACTTTGGGGACACAATTCCAGGGCATGGTGGCATCATGGACCGCTTTGACTGTCAGTTTCTGATGGCCACATTTGTCCATGTGTATTACTCAAGTTTTGTCAAGTAAGTCTTTTTTCTCTTTGTCAAGTTTGTTACAAATATTTCAGATTTTCATGTGTATCATGATGTTAAATTAATTGAAAGAACTTAAAAGACAAAAATTAAGTATCACATAGCAAGTTCAACGGTTTAAATATCTAGGATATAAATTATGTCTGTGGCCAATGTTGTTTGTGGGTGGTGGGCGGGTGCTGTGGTGTGGTTTTTCTCCTTTTTTCCTATCTAATATCTATCATCCTGATCTCTCCTTTTTTATGTTACTCTCTAGTAGCATCTCTAATCTTAGGCACATATTTGACTCAGTTGTGTTACAAATGCCTTTAAAGTTCTGGAGTTTCGTTTTAAAAGACAGTATATCCAGTTTTGTAAAATGTTCAGGAGAGCCAAAAAACTATTTTTGCAAAGCGTTAAGAAGTTACATTTTCAATGTTTAAAAAAAATGGAAATACAACAAGAAAGCACTGAGGTCGCAAAATGTTGCTTCTTGTTTTATCTCTTACGAAAAACAAACAAATGTTGCTTCTCATTCTTCTCCTTTTGTCTCTTACTAAAACAAACAAACAAGTGTTGCTTCTCATTCTTCTTGTTTTGTCTCTTACGAAAATCAAACAAACAAACCAACAAACGTTTCTTCTCATTTCTTGATTACTTGATTACTTGATCCTGGGAACAACGTCAAAGCACTCTGGATATTTCCATACATGCTCCGCTCCTCATCTTCATTCTCTTACAAAAACAAACAAACCAACCAACAAACGTTTCATCTCACTTCGCCCAGGGTGGCCAACCCCCAGAACATTGTCCAGAGCGTGCTGATGCTGCGACCGGACCAGCAGGTCCAGGTGTTCACCATGCTGCGGGACAAGCTCATTCTCCGCGGCCTCATCGGGAACGGCACCACGTCTTCTGCCTAACCGCAGCAACTGTCTGTTTGTCTGTATGACCAAAGATCGTACGTAACAAGATAGTTCACTCCTCAGTTTGAGCCAATTAAAAAAGTGTCCTTCCTTAGAATTTGGTGGCGTCCTCTTTGAAAAAGTGAGGACTTTGCTGCGATCAGAGTTACCCTACAATTAAAGTGGAACTTACAAACTGAGCTATTCCTATTCTTCTTCTGGAGAAACGAAAGAGAGCTTCAAAACAAAGACTGCAGCGCCGTCTGAAGCAATGGGTGGACTTACGTGGACACTTGTTTTAGCCGAGTGAACTGTCTTGTTATGTACGATCTTTGGTATGACTGGACGCGCCGCAGCTCATTCGTGGTGTCACAACTCGGTGGAATCAGGCGCTCGTCAATCATCAATTTTTGTGGCGTGTGTGGAGTTGGTTGGAAGTGTCATCTTAATTATTAAAGCTTGTTCATTTGTTTTGCTTTTGAGGAAATAAGATATACCCATTTATCTTGATATTGATATATTTTTTAAAAGTTTGTTCATTTGTCTTGCTTGTGATGAAAGAAGTATCTATCTTGAACAGAAGTCAAGATATTTGTGATTGAGGTAGGTGCAGGTCCTGGTATCACAGGTAAGAAGGCCGCCTAAGCTTGAGTGTCCTTGGAAGCTGCAAATTTACGTATTTTCTGCACCTGATCAACCTTTTTCTGTGAAATCGACACAGAAATAGTTTTTTAATTTAAAAAGTGTTGAGCCAAAAAAAAGAAGATAAAAATTGATGAAAATGGCCTGATGGGCGGAAGCATGTCGATATCTTCGATTTCATTATTTTGACGAGAGCCTGATTTCACCAGGATGCCACCCACTTGTATATTAGAGATTAGCAGTTTTTAACTTATTTATAATTCAGTTTTAAGTGTTGTCACCAGTAATTTTTATTGTGTATGATTGTTATATATATTGCATTAATCATCACATAAACTGTCTTAGCACCTTTAGAAGAAGAAGAAAAGAAAGGAATTTGTAACCGGCTTTGCATGCCTTTTTTCACTGCCAAGAGCGAAATGCTCGCAGCTAAAGGGATTTGAAAACAACAAGCAACAACATGCATGCCTTGGACTTTGTGAGAAGATTTTACGATACCCTCTGGTATTAAACGCGGTCATGGCTACCTTCAAGGCTTTGAAAAATCTTCAGGATTTTACTAAAAAATACAAATGCTAATTATATTTCATGAATTGAAAATTCGTTATGCATACTAAGCATATCAATTTATTCATCTGTCATTGAAATAATTACTGTTGCAACGCTAGGAAATTAAACTTGTTCTTTTCTTCAAGCATTGTTAGTAAAATTTGGGGCATTTCGCTTATAATTGATCTCAATTCTTTCTTGTACATCCTTCAATCTTAGACTGATCTCACAGTAAGAGTAAGAGGGTATGGTATCATTTCTGCTAATGTGATGAGTACTTGTAAATGAAATCAAATGAAACAACAGAGACTTTTAAGGACTCTTCAGGAGAGTGGCTTAAGGTTTTTACACTTTAGGGCGGGATTTGTTGCTCATTCAGTGTTGAATTATATCATTCAGGGTCCGTACGGATCTTGGAAGACTGAACAAATTCTTGGAATTTTGTTATCATTTTCCAAGGCATGGAAAACTCTTGAATTTTTTGGAAAATTTGCAAAATTCTTGGAAAAGTCTTGGCCTAAAGTAGACTCTTCAGTCAGTGGCACTACCCCGGGGGGTAGTTGATCTCTAGATTGTTCTTAGTAAAAAAAAAAAATTAGTTGTTAGACCACCCTGTATACCTTTCTCTCTCAACGTCTGAGGTTTCATTCACGGTACTTTGTGTGGCAAAGTCCTGGTCACTGAAAAAAAAAAAAATCTTTTACCGAGAAATTCTAGAACTAGAAAGAGTAGATCTATGTAGTTTAAGAATTAGATTTTAAAAAGTAAAAGTGGGAGGTGTAGTCTGAGATTAAAAATTAAAAAAGGTGTGTGTACATCAGTCCGCAGTTGTTGCGGCTTTTGGTTTCTGTACGTAAAACTTTCTTTGCTTTGAGCTGCTTGCATAATTGGATTGTGGCAAAGCATTTTTTTTAAAAAGGTGGATTTCATATCTTCTCAGCCTTAGTATCTTACTACAATCAGTCCTGAAGGTGTTTTCAATCTGCATACTGCCTTGTTTGGTTACTAAATTTCGTTTGGATTGGACCAAAGCATTTTAAAAAAGTGGATCTGACATCCTTTCAGCCTTAAAAGTCTAGAACCAGTCCAGACGTTGCTTTCTATCAGTATATATACCGCGTCGCTTATTTTGACTGAATATAATATCATGAACCAGAAGTGGAATTAGAGAGGATCCATCTATTTATTTATTTCCCCTCACATATTGAATTGACTCCATTGCTTTGTTAAACCAAAAGAATTGTGTACTTCAATTCTGTGATGAACAAGTCTGATGATAACAAGATTTCAATGTTCTTTCTCAGTGTTATTTGTTTTAGATGATGATGATGATGATGATGATGTCTGTAATTTTTGGGAATATTGGAACAGTTGTGATGACATTGTAATTCTGCGTTATATATAATATCTCTCGTCTTGTATTCTTTTGATGTTGTTTTTTATGCACATGTCATCAGTTGGCTATTGCCACAAAACTTAGCCGGTGTTGTGTGTTTAATTTTATGTTTCATGTCTTTTTTTGTCTTTTTTTCTAAACTATTCATGAATGACGTTTGACATGCTTTGCGGGGTATATCTGGTTGGACTGGTTCATAAAGCCTAGATGTTTCTAGGAAGGGAAAATAATTAAGTTATCGATAACTACTCATATAGTTTTGTCTCATGATCTCTCTGTCTTTTTATTAACGTTTGCCAGGAATGAGGTTTCATGTAGAAGCCTAAAGCCTGGATTTTGAAAGGACGTTTTGATACATTTTCACTCCTCTGCCTTTTGTTTCCTTTGGATATTTATTTTCCTGAACTGTCCCACACTATAGTTTTGTCTTACAATTACCCGTTCCTTGGTGCTTAACTCTTTAACATTGGGGATTGCCTTGTTAGTGAGACAACTTCCTGGGTCTTCGGCATTTTGTGGTAGGGTGGCCATTTCCTTTCCACGCCGCCTTTACTTCCAGAACCTGAAGTCAGGTACCCATTACTGCTGGGTGGGCAGGAGGGGGTGAAAAAAATCCATGTCCGAACCGAGGCTCGAACCCGGACTCTCGCTTCGGAGGCGAGCGCACTAACCACTCCGCCACCCCACCCTCTGGTGCTGTATTATCAAAGAAATAAACAATTTGAAACACTACGAGAAAGTTTTAAGTTTCTCAATGGCTAGCAGCATGGCCAACACTGATGTAACAGAAGACTGCATGCAAGTTAGGAGATGAGATAAGCTTTTGATTACAATATTAATAGTAATTACATATTATGTTCCTGTTGGGAAGGAATTTAGTTTTTTCTTGCTTAATCCGGTCTTTTGTTAAGTCCACAATGTCAGAAAGCATAAAGTTCCTGTGCCGTGTTTTCCGAGAAGTGGCTGTGGAGAGGGTGGACCAACAACCTCTTTCAGTTTGGAACTCGAGTTGTGGTTTTCATTACAAAATCAATCACAATTCCAAAAAGTACAGGTGATAATATACAGCCTTGTCTAACACCAGAATTTACTTCAAAAGGTGTAGATGGTTCTCCTTCAACTCGGACACAGCAGCTTGCTTTGGTATAGAATGATCTTATAAACCGTTTCTTTTTTGTTGGGATGCCATAAATTGCAAGAATTTTCCGTAGGGCATCTCAGTTTATGCTGTCAATGACTTTTAAAAAAGTTGTCATGACGTGCATTTTTCTTTTTCAGGACGAGTGCTGGTATTGTAGATAATTACTGTGCTATTGCTATGGCCGTTTTCATTTTCACTGCATTTGATATTTTGTGTGGATTTGAAAAACGCTGTATTCCAAATAGACGTAACTGTGACTTGTATTTATACATGGCTCTTCCTATTTGTGCATTTAGTCAGTGTCATTCCACAGTTGCCTATGAAAGTCTGTCATTTTTTAGGAGTTACGAGAAAATCTGAAGACAAAGATTGTGCTGAAATTAGAGCCATGACTTACGCACTCTTTCTTGATTTTTCCAATTTTAAAAAGTAGGTAGGAAATAACGAAACTATTTTGTAAGATACCCCCGAGTGTCTTTATTTGAATAACAGCTTTATCTGGACCCCCACCAACCCAACCCAAATTGACGGAGGCCATTTTGGAATGATGCTGACAATTTCTGCCTGCAATATGTACCCAGTGTTCTTGTACCCCTGCCTTGTTGTTTCCACCTTATCTTCTTGCCCATGACCAAGATCAGAACTGTTGTATATTGTGAGTATCCAGCAAGGACTGTGAATTTTTGTAGAATCTAATTTTTTTAGTATTATATTCAAGCACTTTACCCACACAAAAATGATGTGCTCTTTCTTCTCACTACAGGATGACTATGTTCCAAATCCTTGAGTCATCTGATTTCATTTCTTCTCCCAAAAGCATAGGTATGTTCCAAATTCTTTACTTCAAAAAAAAGATTTTTGTCACTCTTATACTCTTAAACTTTGTAATTTATCCTGGAACTGAGTAAACTAAACAGTGTATTAAAGATGCCCAAGTCATGCCAATAACATTGTGGATTTAGAAGTTCCAAATACAGTAAAACCTCGGTATAACGTACACGTCATAAAACGTACTGTCGCCTATAAGCTACACCGAAGTATTCACTTTCTGAAGTCCCTTATCCCATTTAGCATTTTTACTCTTTTTTCGGCTGTAACGTACAGCAGCTAAGAAGAAGTTGAAAGTCTTGGGTCCAAAGGGAATACGTTGTATGGAGGTTTTACTGTATGCTCATTTTCCTGTCCTGGTTTGTGGCAGTGCAATCAAGCTGTGAACTGCTTCGTTGTACATAGATATATATATCTATTCACCTCCTTGTCTTTGTTCTTCTTGAGCTGTTTGTTTGTGTCCTTCTGTCCAGAGGTGAAGAACAGAAAGTTTAAAGTCTTTTATACATCGTCGGCCTGCTGTTAAAATGTACAAAGCTCAAAGTTTTGGAATTTTAAATTATTTTTTTTATTGCAGTTTCTCATTGTTTGGTACTCTTAGTCTTACCAGTTCATGTGTTCAACAAATATGAAATCTTTTGTCAAAATTCAAATTCTGTGGAGAAATAAGAAATTTTTTGTCAAAATTCAAATTCTATGGAGTAATAAGAAATCTTTTGTCAAAATTCAAATTCTATGGAGAAATAAGAAATCTTTTGTCAAAATTCAAATTGTAAATGTTGAAAAAAAAAGAAGCCAGGAAAAGTACATAATGCAGGTGTGCAGTACAAATTTTAATGTTAAAAGAATGAAACAGGTTGGGTTTTTTTCTCTCTCCTATAAAATTTTCCTTTGTGGGTAAGGTACATTTGAACAGCTTGTCCACTATGATGTGTGTGTCGAGTGTAATGATTGACTTAGATGTTGTTTCTCGGCTAGTCAGTTCCTGAAGATGCTATTTCTATAAAAATGTATACGAGTGTATTTATTTCGTATATATATATTTATATCTATATGGATACATAATACAATGACTATGTATATGACTGTTTGTCAGATTTATGGCAGTTATTAATTTTTTCCCTTCTGTGAATTCTGATCTTGTTGTTGGAACTGTTTGTCTTTGTAAGGTTTCAGAATTTTTTATTTTTTTAAAAACTTTGCTTTGGTGTAGGCTGCCTGAGAAGATCATAATGGCAGGGATGATTATTTTTTTTTCCTGCTATGATTAACTCTTTTTAGGTTGGGTTGTTTTTTTTGGTTTTTTTGGGGGGTGGTTGTTTTTTTCCCCTTAAATCTTCTGCATGTTTTTTTTCCCTCTGACTAACTTATTTATCTGAAAAGGGACGTTTTAACTTTGGCTGAGAGCTTTCTTTGTCTGAAGTTGGCTACTTCGACGGATTTTATTTCACAAAGCTTTTGGTGGTTTTTGGTTTGTTTAAACTTGATTGTTTTGTGTGTAATAATTTTCAAAGTAGACTTAAGAAATTTTTGTCGCCAATATTTTCTGGGACACTTAATTAATAAATGTTGCTGTCTATCATCTGGGAAGATTTTAAATAGGATGATTTTAATAGTCTTTTTAAAATTCTTTTATGTCTGTAACTAACAACAGCACTTATTTTTGCCATGAGTTTGTCTTTCACTCCAATTGTCATATCATTTTCTTTCCGTTATATTTAAAAGAAAAAAATAGAATCAAAACTTGATTTGAAAATATGCAGACTCTGTCCTCATTGCTTGTTGCTTGTTTTGGGCATTGTTGTGACTTTGTTGAGATGAATGTCATTTTTTTGGAAGCTTTTGTTGTTTTTTTTTGTTTCTCTATTTTAGATTACTCTTTTGTACTCGATTTCGATTGCCAATTTTATGTTGAACGCAACCACAATTATGATCTGTGTACTATGTGAATATTTGTCCTCAAATATTACGACTTTCAGACGTCCATGAATGTGTATGTTTTTTTAATTACCTCTGTGAGAAAAAAAATGGCTACTCATTTTTTTTATTCATGTAAAAAATATGGTACATGAATGATGAAAAAAAATGTGATGAGCTGATATAATATATATATACGAAGCAGCTTTCTTTTCTTTGTTTTACACATTAGAATGCACCAGGAACATACGTGCTGCTTTGTTGCTCAAGCCATTCCGTGTTTTTTTGTTTTTGTTTTTGTTGTTGCTTTTTGTGTATGTTTTGTTTTGCTTTTGAGGAAGACTTTGGCTTCGCTCTTGGTATGGTTCGTAAAGTAAAGCACGGTTTTGTATTGACTGGCCATTTTTTTTTTTTAAAGGTTCTGAAGAATAGATGTGTTACAATAGAGTAACTTACACAAAAAAGAAGCAGGAGAGATTAGGACAATAGATGTTTGATAGGAAAGAAGGAGCAAACCACACCAGGGCACCCGCCAACCACCCACACACAGGTTGTGTAATCAAGTACGAATACAGGAGATGGCATTTAAAAATAGGATTCACCTTGTGGAGGTAAACTTGAAATACAATTATTTCTTTGTTACGCCGTCAAATACGATACGTAAAAGTTGCAAATGTCACGGCGCATGTGCATCAGATGGAGTGGAGGGAGTCGCCGAACGAATGTGATACGGCCAAATATGTCACGACATGGTGGAATCAGGTGCTCGTCAATTTTTGGGCATATATGGGGTTATTGGTATCAACTTAAAGCTAGGTTTTTCAATTGCCTTTCTTTTGGTGAAAAAATATCCATCTATGTTGAATAGAAGTCAAAATATTTGCAATTGAAGGAGGTGGGGTCGCCTAGTTTCAGAGATAAAATTAGTGAGAAAATTTTGCTGCCAAAAATTTGCTATATATCATTAGATTGAGAGAACGTGGAAACTGGAAATTAACATTTTTTGTGCCTTTAATCGATGTTTTTCAGTAAAATCCACACAGAAATCATGTTCTTTAACGGGCATGAAAAGTGTTGAGCCAAAAAACAAAAATTAGGTAAAAATTTCCAAACCTGCCGAAAAATGCCAGTTTCTTCTCTTTGACTATTTTGACGAGCGCCTGATTTCACCACACTGCCTCACATATGCAAGCCATTGTGTTATATAAATGCCCCGCATGACCATCATCGTTTGGTTGGATGTGAAAAAGTTCCTGACCTTTCTTTTTTTTTTGGAGTTAATTTTTTCTCCTTACGCAATAGAGTATTAGTATTATAAATCAGTTTGTTGAATATAATGATGTTGTTGTGTAGGCTCTGCTGCTTTCGTTTAGTGTTACTTTGTCATGTTAGAGAGAGAGAGAGAGAGAGAGAGAGAGAGAGAGAGAGAGAGAGAGAGAGATAGAGATAGAGATAGAGATAGATAGAGCGATAGAGAGCACAGTGTCTGTTATTATAGAAATATGGGAATACAAGTCACAATCTCAGGATTTTAGTGTGTGTTGTAATTGAATGGAATATTTTGTTGTTGTCAGAATAGTTGTGGAAAATCCAGTCGTTGTGCACTTTTCATGTTTGTTGTGCTTTCTTTGTTGAAAGGTTTGTTTTTAGAGAAGAAACACACACACACACATTAGTGATTTCGGCACTGTTGTTAGAGCAGTGCTTGTCAACCCTTTTCTAACCAGCGCCCACTTTTGCCATCTTCAAATTAAAGAGGCAAACATTTTTGATGGCCCACCTCTGGGTATAATTTCCAAGGGGTGCATTAAATAACACCTTACAGATAATCCCCAGCGTCCGCCAAAATTACAAAATTACCCACTAGTGGACGATGTGGCCCAGGTTGGCAAACACTGCATTAGAAAAGATTTCATTAACTAACAAATAAGCACAGTGGCTTATGTATAGATCGACCAGAAGGATTTTTGAACACTTGAATTTAAAATATTGACGACAAGGTAAATGAAGTATGAGTGGTCTTTCTGGGACTTGAAAAGTTTCATTTGTTTATTCATCAATAAAGACTGTAAAAAATATTCTGTTTAGTCTTATTTTCAATTGTACTTGTCTCTGAGTCAAAGAGTGAATGTTGCCTTTTTCTGGTTCTGTAATCAGATTCATGTCATGTTCTTCATTCAAGCTAGGCCAAAAGAACATGAACCGTTGTCTTGAATGTGGGCCAATTTTATATTATAGTTTTGCATATTTTTATATGCTCTTATATTAGTCCAATCAATTATCTTGACAAAAATCCAGAAAGGAAAAATAAAGTTTTTTGGTCGGTGCACTGAAGCAAAGAGTTTCTTTGTGATATTTTTTTAGCTTGTTTGCTACTCGGTTTTTTTTCTCTTCTGTACACTCTACATCATTGACTTTTTCATTGTGAAACACTGAGTGGCGGGTGGTTGGAGGGTGCTGGTCCTATTTATTTTCTTTCTCTCTGTTGTTTCTATCTGTCTTGCTTCTTTCCTGTACTGTAGGTGGTTGGCGGGTGCTCTGGTGTGGTTTGCTCCTTCTTTCCTATCAAACATCTATCGTCCGTATCTCCCCTTCTTCTTTTTTATGTTTGTTACTCTCTTGTGACACCTCTAATCTTCTGGCGCTCATATATGACCTTATGCAGTTGCGAGCGCCGTAAAACCTGTACTAAAACTAGAACTTTCCTGCACTATAAGACTGTTATTGTGTTGATGTACGTCTTTTTACTCAAACTCAAAGGGGAGGAGAAAAAATAAGTCATAATGATTTCTATTCTCTCTACTGCTTTTTAAGTAATTCTGAGAATGTAACATACCGGTATTCAATTCAATATCTAATCTGTGAAATTAAACAACTTGAACGCACTGCACTTGGAAATTGAACAATTTAATCACACTTGTAAATCACACATAATACACAATACTTTGAACATGCTTGCTTAAAGACTTGGCAGGCTTTTTAACAGTATCAACAACTTTCTCGTTCATTCTCCTATAAACAGTTCCACCATCAGTCTCCTCTTTCATACCATCACGTCAATGAAACGTTCAATCAGACTATCATTCTCTCTGCAGTGATACACACATTCTTCCTTTTGCTGTTGAAAATAACAATCTCACATGATATCATCAGAAAAACTGTCAACTCATGAACAGTGGAGTCTGCTTAAACTAAACCGTAATTTGCTGGACCACTAGATTTTCTCTGGTTAACCGGGTTTTTTGGTTTTCAAGAGGTAGCTCGAACAGAAGTTAAAAATTCGACGATTTTCTTTTCTTTCGGTTTGCTGCTGTTTTAGGATTAACTGTGCTTGGTTTAAGTTTTAGTGGACTCCACTGTAGTTTCTTTAAAAAAAATTTTTTTAAAGGAAAAACTGAGTATGAGAATTACTCCGACCATATTTTCAAAAACCAAAGCAACAGTTTTGCAGTAATAATGTAACAAATTTGTTGTGACGTCGTCATCCAACCAAACAACAACAATGTAGCGGTAACATCCAAGGGTAGTCAGAATAGACTTCACAGTCAGACTCATTCAGCAATCATTCTGCACAGTTGCTCTACACAAAGTATAAAATATCAAACCCATTGACTGGCAAGAGTATTTCCCTGATTAACATTTACATCATTGTTACAACTTTTGAAATGTCTTTGAGGACGTCCAGAAGGTCATTTTCGAGCTCCAGAATATTTCCTGGGGAGGGAGAAGTCATATTTATGCTTTTAGTTTAGTTTTAGTAAGAGTTTTACGGCACTTGCAACACGATAAGGTCATATAAGTGTAGAAGATTAGAGGTGTTGCAAGAGAGTAGCGAACAGAAAAAAGAAGGAGGAGAGACAAGGACGATAGATGTTTGATAGGAAAGAAGGAGCAAACCACACCAGAGCACCTGCCAACCACCCACCATATTTATGCATAACTTTAAACAGAGCCGAAATAAAACATAACGTCAGTGTCACAAGCAGTCCACTTGAGCGTCTGTGTGGGTTCTTTTAACATCAGAGACAAAAAACCCCCCCCGTAGTTTTTGTTGTGTTGTTCCTATCAGGAATCATGAAAAGCAAGAAAATTGTAAGCTTTGACCATAGCTTTACTTTAAACTGCATTTTGGTGATGTTGAAAGGTGCATCTTTGATTGAGCTCTGGGAGGGTGTAAAAATTGAAAATTCTAAAAGTTTAGACTGAAGTGGATTGCTTGCAACAGTGACGATAAACTGTTCACACCTTACACCCAGCAAGATATTGAGGTTAATATTTGGTCGCTTTTAAGGACAAGCGGGCTAACCCAGATTTCCGGGGTTTCCAGAAATCTTGACCTACACCAAAAATGGGCATTGCCCTACCTATAGGAGAAGTTTGGTTTCATTGGTGTGTATATTCGTTCGGTTATAGAGAAAACTCTCCTTGCCTTTTTAAAGAATCTGAACAAAGGACAAAAACTTTATCTTCGATTTTCTCAAAACAGCATTTTTCGGGATAGCCCCCTTGAGCTTTAAAGTGACCATTTAACACCTAAGTGACCAATGATGAGCACACTCAACTCCAGGCGGCCATCCCATCACGACCTCCAACAAGAACATCAGATTCATCACGTTGAATCAGGGCTGACCACAATTTCCTTCTCGGATGGAGCAAAAGCTGCCAGTTTGGTACCAAAAAACCCACAAAAACAACAATTCGACCTGCAACCTTGAAAAACTAATTTATGAGTTTGATTTTGAAGGACACATCTGAATTTATTTGAATTCCGTTGTATTGTGCCAAAAGGAAAATCTTACAGTCCGTGACTCAAACCAAGGATTCTGATTAGTAGTGTGCGCATGGTATTATTGCCTCTGAATGAGGGCAACTTGCAGGCTTTACTTCCCAGCGGAAAGTGCTCGAATATTGATTGAGAGGACTAAATGAAAGTAGTTTTCAGTTTTTAAAAAAAGGCAGCAAATATCGTTATAATTGTTTCAAGAAAATTAACTAACTTTGTTTGACCTTCTTAACAGTACAGGGTTATTGTAAAAATATTGGATCCATTCAGTTTTCTTTCCACAGCCGTTATATTCTTGATTATACCCTTTTTTGAATTCATAGACAGTACAAAGTTTAGTATTAGAAAGAGTTTTACGCCACTTGCAACAAAATAAGGTCATATATGTATATGCTGAAGATTAGAGGCGTTACTAAGACTAAGAGAGTAGCAAACACAAAAAAGAAGGAGGAGAGATCAGGACGATAGATGTTTGGTTGGAAAGAAGGAGCAAACCACACCAGAGCACCCGCCAACCACCCACATAGACAGTACAAATCGTGACCCCAAAGCAAAAAGATTTTCTGATCTGACCTGTGTTGGCTTCCTGGTCAGCGATAAAGTGGACATGCATGGGGTTGTTGTTCAACTGGACGGTCTGTGGACAGTCAAAAGGGAAATAGGATTAGAACTTCCAGTATAAATAAGCATACATATTGGAAATCTTTAATATTAAGAGGATATATAGTGTTTAATTAGCACTGAAATATCCTGTACAATAAAAGTGCCATTTTCGGGGGGGAGTAAATACTGAATTGTACTACTGATTTTTTACGAAATTTGTTTGTTTTTTGTTTTAGTAGAGGTTTTATGGCACTTGCAACCCAATAAGGTCATGAAAGTGCCGAAGATTAGAAGGTGTTACAAGAGAGTAACAAACATAAGAAAGAAGAAGGGGAGATAGGAAAGAAGAAGCAAACCACACCACAGCACCTGCCAACCACCCACTTGGAAATCTTAAACATTAAGAGGATATTGATTGTTTAATTAGCACTGAAACATCTTGTACACTAAAAGTGCCATTTTTTAAAAGTAAATACTGAATTGTACTACTGATTTTTAAAGAAATTTGTTAATTCAAGTTGTCAGTGAAATATTAGAAGGTGTGCGACTGCATTTGAACACATATGATGCTGGGCGACTGAACTCAAGAAATCAAAAAGTTTTCGTGAAAAATGAATAGGTCAAAATATGAAAAAAAAAAAAAGCGAGTGAAAAAAATGCTGGTGTATGGTACATTGCGCTAAATCTACTTAGAGACAAAATCTAGACACTTTTCGGACAGAAACTGGATGCTTTCAAGTAACAAATATTTGTGTTTGCAGCTTTTGTGAAACCTCCAGGTGTTTAACCATCATAGAAAAACCACAATGTATGTGTATGTGAATACCCGGTACCATTAGCGCACATTCCACAGAAGGCAGAAATGGGTGGTTGGAGGGTGGCGCCACTGGTGGATTCTATTTATTTCTTAATTTCCCTCTATTGTTTCAGTCTTCTGCCCCGCTTTTTTCCAGATCTAAATGACCGTTATTCTGTTGATGTGCTTCTCTTTACTCCAACAAAAATCTATAGGTTGAGTTTGTGCAATTTATCGGGATGAAATACTTGAAGAAAATGGCATCAGTTGACAATCTACAAATTCAAATCCCTATGTTGATTTTCAGACAATATCTCCTTTTTCGGGTCGCAATGAGTAACTCTATTTGTCAGCACGCCTAAGATTCAACTCTTTATCTCCGGCAAGCCGCTCCCAGCGGCTCGCGGTCGGAACTGCTGTGCTGGTGAGTCGCTGACAGCGGCTCGGGCACATTCCTTTACGACGACTTCGACATCAAATTACTTTTCGACAATTGCCGAAAACAGGACTCTTTTATCGGAATTTAATTCATTAGATGAAGAACTATCGAAATATGTTCACTTGTTTTAATTTAATAACCAATTTAGTGACGTTTTCGCCAGTTTTTTAAGATTTAGTACCAAAAATGAACCTCGGCATAGTGGGTTTACCCCCCGACAGAGATAAAGAGTTAATAGAAAAACTGACCTGGTATCTGTCGTAGAAGTTGATGATCCGTCTGTTCACGCCAATGCCCATTTTGCTGGCCTGCTCCGTCATGACGCCAAAAACAGACAGGAACGACGGCTTCAGCGCAGTGTCAGGAGCTAACTGGCTTGACACTGAAAGAGAAAAAAACAAGACGTGAAACTTGGAAAAATATAAACCCAATTTTGTCAGGGACAATGAAATATATAAACAGACTTTTTTAGCATTAGTATTAGTAGAGGTTTTACGGCACTCGTAACTGCATACGGTTATATGAGCGTCAGAAGATTAGAGGTGTTAAAAGAGAGCAACAAACATAAATAAGAAGGACGATAGATGTTTTATAGGAAAGAAGAAGCAAAGCACACCAGAGCACCCGCTAACCACCCACAAACAGACTTTGTCAGAGACGAAGATAAATTAAGAAACAAAAGGCTGTGGGGGGGAAAAAGAAGAAACAAAATCAGTGTGGATTTATAATATTATGGTAAAATATAAAGATTGCTTTTAAATGCTCAAAATGTGGCAAACTCTTCTCTGCCAGAGGTGGCCTCACTGTCCACAGCAGAAGCCACAAGTCATGATTATAATGATGATGATGATGATAATGATAATAAGAACAAGAATAAAAATAATAATAACAATAACAACAACAATAATAACAACAATAATAATAGTAATAACATTAGTAATAATAATAATAATAACATTAGTAATAACAATAATAATAATAACAAAAACAATAATAATAACAACACCAACAACAACAACAACAACAACAATAATAATAATAATAATAATAATAATAATAACCATAACTGCATTTAAATAGCACATATTCACGCTCTACAGTATGATCTATGCACTTTACAACTGTTATTACCTCAGCAGACCCTAGAACACTCAGAAAAATTCTTGGTTTCCCAGGAAGCATACAATGCAAGCAGCCGATTTAAGTATGCACAAACATGAACAAATTGACAAGATCTTTCATAGTCTACAGGCCTACTCATTCCCAACTTGGTGAAAGTGGAAAAATTTGTGAAAAGGACACAATATCAGGCCCCTGAAGGGGTGTGAACTCATGACCTTTCAGTTACAAGCCTGACAGTCTAACTTCTAGACCATATAAGCCACACTCCCGATGCTAAGCAAGCCCCAACTTATTCATGGCCATCTACTTTAGCTATAATTTATACAAAACTGACACTTTGCTTTTTTAACAATCACTGTGACGGAAAACACTTAGTTTAGTGAAACCATTTGCACTGCTAGATTTAAATAAAAAATAACCACACTGAAAGCCAACACGATTTTTATCACATTAAATGAAAAAAATCAATAAACCCACCAGCTGCTAGATGAATGTGCAAACATCTGGCAATTGAGAGTTGAAAAGGATAGCGGCATACATATGGCACTTTGCAGGTATCAGATAAACTGTACAATTTTCGTAACATATTAAAATCTTCTAAAACTAGAGGCCAGCAGAATAGAATAAAAGATGATCACTAAAATAAGTAAGTACATGATAACAAACATTTGAGTAGCAACATGACTGAGATGAGTTTCATGTTGCATTTTGAAAATGAAACTCTATAGAAATTAATCTGGGAAGCCGTACAAGTGGGTTAAATCTTCAGTAAGTTTGCTTCTTTTCTGTTGCAGCCAATTTTATCAGTTCATAATTTTGAGTTACTATTTTGTTTTTTTATATCCAATTTTATACAACCAAACATTTCAACTTTATCACAAATGACCTCTGCTTCCTATTTACATTTTACTTTCTGAAAATGCAAAGGTTTGTGGCCTTTACTTCCTCGGTTTGCCTGTTCTCAAGCATTTTCCAACACAATACGGTGAAATCATACTGGCTCCGACACCATAGTTATTTGGTCGCTTTTAACGACAAATGGGCTAACCCAGATTTGGGGGGTTTCCAGAAATCTTTACCTACACCCAAAGTGGGCATTGCCCTACCTATAGGAGAAGTTTGGTTTCATTGGTGTGTATATTTGTTTGGTTATAGAGAAAATTCACCCCCCCCGCGGGGCAGTGCCACTGACTGAAGTGTCTTTAGGCCATTCCCAAAGGGGGGACATATCTCGTTCAAGCACAGTAGAACTGTAAATGGGCTGATTCATGTTACGCTCATAACTGTGCCTGATCTACAACAGGGAACTGTTGCTTTTTCTTTCCTGATCCTTATTATTGTCATTTTCCTCTACTTCTTTTGTATGTTTGTCACTCTCTCGTGACCTGCTATTTTGGGGTGCCTTGATAGTCGGAGCAGACCTTGTGCTGTTGAAGCTAGAGAGGTGAGCAGTCTAAGCCTGTTTCCCTGTAAAGACTTCTCTGTTGACACCCACCCCTTGGCGCTCACATGACCTTGCAGTTGCGAGTGGCGTAAAACCCTCTACTATAAAAAAAAAAGAAAAGAGAAAACTCTTTTTGTCTTTTAAAGAAACTGAACAAGGGTCTAAAAACTTTACCTTCGATTTTCTCAAAACAGCATTTTTCGGGATAGAGCCCCCTTGTGCTTAAAAGTGACCATTTGTCAGCAATGCTTGGAGGGTTAATCTAGATGCTTTGGATCCCTGTGTTAAAAGCACTTGAAGTAAGGGATTTAGAAACGCATAGTTATGAGAAAATCAAGGTTTTACCTGAATATCTTGAAACAGCTGATTGATGACTGTGAGAAATTATTCATTTTTTCATGTTGCTACACATTTCATTCATCGCTTTCGACACATCTTCTTATTTATAACATTAAAAAAATCTTACCTTTCACGATCACCACTCCATCGCGGTCTGTGATTATAATTGCATGCAGGCCATCAACACTGAAACCACAAAGAAAACAGAGTTACTTTTTAAAATACAACCAAAAGTATCTCAACCCTCAAACGAAGGTGTATCATATGACATCAATGTTATCTGTAATGACGATGAATTTGAATAACTTCGAGATCATACAATTCATTTTTGAGACCTTTAAAAAGATGGGGAAAAAAAACAACTTTCGAAAAGAACCCACACAAGCTTCTTTTGCTGTTAATCAAAGCTCTATCTCCCCCCCCCTCAAAAATACTGATGATATACACTGGGCACAGGCAATTAGACCTGCCTACACTTTCTGCTCGATGAATTGATTCCTGCAGAAATGATTTTCCTCTCCTCTCTATCTAAAGTCATGCTGCAAGACATAGCCACTCCACAAACAAATTTTTGTCTTAAGTGTGTCTGAGTGGGAGTTAAATAGACCACGTCTACCTTTCTAGCTGACCATCATCGAATAAAACATTCCCATTTCTATACCAATTGTGTCCTTTAGGTTAGATATTTCATATCACAAGTTGTATTCTCGCTCTATCTGTATTTTTGGGGAATTTTCCTCAATGGTGATATGCCCTGAGATAATTAATTCAATTTCAAATCTTGAAGTTTAAAGAAAAACAGTTAGAACACTATTTCATTTACGTTAGTATCGATGATAAGGAGTAATCTAACTAAAAAAATAAAGCCTGAAGATAGAGTATGACATTCAGTAACTAGTACTTTGTCCTTTTCAGTCAGGGGTAAATTTTAAAAGTACAAAAAAAAAAAGAAACTGTTTGGTCTATCTTTATTTTAGGCTTCTATTTCATTTTCATTACAAATCAGAGCATACATGATTCTCATTCAGACAAGTCAAAAGATTTACCAACTATATCAACTTACGTTTTCATCAACTTGTTGAGATATGACTTGAGTTCCTGTTATGAATAAAAACAAGTCAATAAATAACACAAAGGCGCGCAAGTGAAAAGCTGAAAATTTTGAGATGGGGGTAGAGGGGACAAGGCAGAAGGTGGGGGCGGAAAGAGTGTTGGCGGGGTGGGGGGTGGGGGAGAGATGAAAGAGGCAGAGGATGACAGAACTAGAACATTTTAATGTTAGTGTCTAGAGAACAGGAAAGGAGGAGAAAGGCTCAGGACCTACTGAATGAGAGGGGAACACTATATCTCTAGACAACGAGAGCCCCTGAAACTATAAGTGCGAGTCAGTAAAGTACGCTAGCTCCTGGAGAAGTGTCTAAGTGTTTAAGGCTACCGACTACTGCTTCAAAACCTAAGATGGACAAGACATCATGACTTTCCACTTACTAGTAAAGTATGTGGTCTATTCAGATTTGGTGGAACAGTTTATCAAAACCAAAGCTCAGTTCAAATCATGCAGACCAGCCAGGTTCCCATGAGTTTTTAAAGAATTTCATCTTAGAAATCAGTCTAATGAATTAACTTGTACCAACTTTTCAGTGCTCACTCTTCTAGTTCTACTACATGATTTATTTGGAGCAACACAATCATATCAAATAGATGATATTGCAGATAAAAAAATTTCTGACGCAAAAGGAATCTGAAAATCAATAGCTGTGCTTTATCAAAATACAGTCGAACATGTGTAAAACGGCCACCATTATATTGTCAAGGAGAAAAATGGCCATATAAGACAGGTGGCCGTCTTAGGCAGTAGGACTGATCCAGATGAAGAAAACAAACCATTCCCTTCTAAAGACTAAGGTCCCACCCGAAGGTAGCCGCATTGTTGTTGTTGTTGTTTTCGTTGTTTTGTTTTTTGTTTGCTTTCTTTATTTTGTTGCTGATTTTGTGTAAGGGTCACAATAAAACGAAATGTGTCAGATGAGTAAGACTGAGTGCCATGGTAAAACAAACACATGGGTAGCCACCACTCGGAGAACCAGCGACACTTCTGCTGCAAGTTCATGTTAACATCTATTGTGACACATTGTTACTATTTTGTTACAGACTGGGTAAACAGTGAACACTCATCTCACTTATGATTTGCGTCGTGTATGAGTTCTGGGAGGGGCTTATGTTATGAGGGGTGATCACACGCTTCCCTCACCAGCAGCTGAAAATTTATTTTTACCTCTATGTATGTGGTCAACAGTGGGTAGGGGCCAACACAACATCATGATCGGACAACGATAGGACGATAGGTGATTGGATTATGACGACTCTTCCACAACGCCAGGGGCCAATACATAATTTAAATGACAAAATATCGGGTGTGATTCTAGATCTAGATCTAGTGGCCGTGGCCACGTTGGACAGGTGGCCGCTTTACACAGTGAAATTATATATAGATCTAGAAACAACGCAGGGGGGGGGGGGGCTGGAATGTGGCCGTTTGTACAGGTGGCCGTATTAAAGAGGTGGCCGTATTAAAGAGGTGGCCGTCATGGCAGGTTCGAATTTTCGTGACCACTCAGTTACTCAGCACATGAAAAGTCATGTGATCAAGACCAAGATCTTCATGATGTAGAGACGCAAATTCTTTATTTTAGTTCATCTGAGGGTTCGTGGAATAAGGACAACTGCTAGACTCAGATTTTCATTTTTTACCTCAGTCATATCTTTTAGAGTTGTAAAAACGCTGCTGGACAAGGAAAAGTTTGATGAAGAGAGCGTCCGTCAACCGGTAAAGGTGCTCGAAGTGGGCAGGGCAGCTTCAACCAAAATGTCAACAAATGTGCAAGGGGACAAAACTCTTGTCTCCAGCTGTTTTGGAGTCGCCGTTAATGACAGAGATGTCTTGAGTTTTGTTGCAGAATTTGGGTTTGCGTCTCTGAAAACTAGTTCTTCCTCTTAGAATAGCAACTCTATCGTATCAACGATTCAAAAACAAAACTGTTTTTTGTTCATGGGGGAAAACTGCTTCATAACTTGGATTGATACGGTTTTTCGGTTAATCATGTCAGCTTCCTCCCAGTGTTTGTTTCGTTGCTAAAATTATCACGTCAAGTGTATCTTTTTTAATACAAATACATAATTATGTCCCCTGCTTCCTTGCCAGCGACATCTTACGCGCATTGATTACCACGTCATTTTGGCCTGAAACAGTATAGCCAACATCTACATACACATAAAACAAAGTATACATTTCATTTCCAAGTGAGATACAATATCGTCTGGAATATAGTCATGCTATCATGTAAGTATGGGACTGTGGTCGATTTTCTTTATTATGTAACTGTGTACGTGCATGCTAGCAGACCGTATGAGAGCACGAGAAGTCAATCAAAACTTGGCTGCACACACTCACACTTCCAGTACTCGTCAGTAGATCTACACATCACGAGAATGATCGTTTGACTCTATTCTATCTCAAAACTTTAAATGTTATATTTGTGACTATAGTGCAAGTGTGGAATGTTGTATGTTCTCATTGTTAAATTGCCGAAATGGAAATTATAAATGCCTTCTAATGACAATGTTGGCATTGAAGGAGTGTGATTGATAAAATCTTGTCAGTATCACATCACACTTCATGTTTCAGTAGATCTACCTGTCACTTTGAACTGCAATCTTTTGAAAGTACATCGCAGTGTGTGGGCTGCTGAATTTGATTTTTGTTTATAACTTGCTGCAACCTGAAGTGCAAGGCAAAGAGTTCAGCTTTGGTTTTGAATCAGAATACAATCTAGACTAGATCTAGATCTAGTGTCTGCTGATAATTTTTTTTCAAAAGCCTGAAAAGCAGATAAAAGTACAGTAAACAGCACCCATCCTCTAGATCTATGCTCTATGAAAGCCTTTGGTTCTCATTTTGAACTAAAGCTGCAGGTCAGTGAGTTTCTAAATGCTGGTTCCCAGCAGATTGACTTTTAAAAAGCAGGAAATGATAAAACTGTGTGTAATTCAGGAGATTTTCACAAAGTTTCATTTTACCTAAATAATTCTGTGTGTATAATAAATAGCCTACTGTAGGCCTTGTACTACTATGGAATTCATTAGCTTTTTTGGGACTTGTTGGTGGCTACGTAGGTTAGGGTTCGTTTTTGTTGGCCATGATGTCTAATTTCAGGGGCCACCTGAAGGAGAAACTAAAACTGTCACTTTACAGTAAATATACATTGTGTCTTTTTTTGGACAGTTTGTTAAAACAAAAATATTTTCTAAGGGAAAATAATATTAAGATCCAGAACGTAGATTTTTTTTCGATTGATAAAATAAAAGTGAAGTAAGATCCATGTGTCCCACTGTCTCAAGAGAATTTTTGTGAAGCACACCTTAGGCCTACTGTGTGATTTATTTTTGACCGAAAGTTTAGTTTGAGGTTATTTCACTGTAAGATTTGAAATGATTTATTTTATTTGATATTTGCCTCTCTATGTAATTAGTCTGACTTTGATTATTTGGTATATGAATTATTGACTTAATCCAAAAAAAGACTTTAAAGAAAAATGATTTTGCTGTGTATTCTTTAACTATTGACCATATCATGATTCATCTCCATTTCAACTTAGAGGCAAAAAAAACAATTGATGTCATATTTTATCTTTTTTGGGCTTTCAGAAAGAAGTGCCACCTTCCAAGTGGACGCTGTGGCTCCAACAGATATGTAGCTGATTGTTATTTATTTTTTTTCTTCATCATCTCAACACCATCTTTGAACTGAGAAACATCTTTACGAAAGTGTAAGTCTTTTACTTAAATATATAATACAGGGTGTCCAAAAAGTCGCGCACCATCCTGAAACACACTTATAAATTGTTACAGATGCTCTAATTGAGCACCATTTTCTTTAATACAACTCTCTACGTCAAGAGAGCGTGAACAGAGAAAAAAACAACAGATTTGGGGGATGGGTCGCGATTTTTTGGACACCCTGTACTTTATCCATCCTCTTGTACCTCCAGGGTGTCGAGGGGAGAAAGAGCTTTCTGTCTTCTAGCAAGTCTGATGGCCTGGCTGGGTGGGATATTATTATATTATAGTTCCAGGGTATCCTTCACACCCTGGATCCAGGTCTTTCTTGGTCTTCCTGTCTTGCCTTGTACCCTGACACTTTTCTATATATTGCTACTGTATATATATATATATATATATATATATAATTTGTCATTGTCATACATGTAGAAGTTATTATAAGTGAGATTTGTCTCTCAGCAAATAATAACCTCATGAATGTGTTGCATTCTTTGAACAGGTTCAGTAGGTTCAGGCTTCAGTATTCTTAGAATTAAGTGTTTTTGTCTGTATCATTGTGGGTGTCATGAGGTTTTTTTTGCCATATTTTTTATTGTGCACAACAGGGTGCCTTCCTCTGTTCTTGCCATTGTCATTCTTCCTACTACATGATTATATTGTCACTTGAAAGGCATGATTAATACCATGGAAACTGAAACTGTTAGAAATATTTGGCACTTAATGAGTGATTTATAAAAATACAGACTTTGTACCTAAACTTTTTAATCAAAAATGTTGTACTCCAATTGTATTCACAGAATCAAAGATGGCTCTCACAAATGGGATTTATATTGTGCAAGGCGAGATCGCTTTGCTTATCACGGCTATGAGAAGAACTTCTCGATATGGTGCACATGGAAGACATGTCAGACAGGTAAGCAGAATGTTTTCTGAGGACCATTTTTTGAAAAGATCTTAGAATCTGTTTGTTTTTTCCTCATACCAAGAAAATGAGCAAGATGGTCTTGTAGTTCTAGTTCAAGCTTTAGTGTGACCTGGAGTACTTTATTTTACTTTGTGGTATTGCAAATTTCATTGTAGCCTTTAGAAAAATGAAAAAAAAATTTATCCACAGTCTCCACAAAGTAAAAGTATCTGCTATTTTGACAGTATGAGTTTCATATATATAGGAATAGAAGGTTTTTGGGAAAAAGATTTTGTGCTTTAATCCTGTAAAAGCACTTCATAGAAACTTTTCAGGCTAAGTGGGCTCCAAGGCCTGAAGTGGTTAAGTCCTGTCATTGTCAAGAATCATAAAAATGCAGTTATCTCCGCCGAGAATTTATAAGATTTGTTTAGATTGTAGATGGAGGACAATAAGTTCTTCTTCTTCTTCTTCTTCTGCGTTCTCGATGACAGCAGCTAGACAGTCAGTCCGATATCGCGTACAAACTGTGTGTAGTTCGCTTTAACTCTGAAAGACTGCCAAAGAATTTTCTCTCAAGTGGAGCCACATTCTGCCACGTCTGTGCGCGAAGGGTGGCGTAGCATGGGCAGTGCTGAAGTATATGGTTGGCATCTTTTTGGTCGTGTCCACATTCACAGGTCGCCGTTTCTCCCACTTTTAATTTGGTGTGCATATGGTGTTTGAGTCTGTTGTGGCCACAACGGAGTCTAAAGATTGTGACCTGGTCTGCTCTATTTAGTATGTCATGTAGAATAAGTTCTTGATAAGCTTAATATGCCCACACTGTGTGTCTCTGAACTTGAGCCTTCAGGGTGAATAAATGAAAAAAAAGCTGTAATGAGACTGTAATGTATGAGGTCTTAAAATTTCGATTTGAGTGTTGATTTTAACAAAATTCTTATTTTACCCCCTACAGCTGGAAGATGAGGGAGATATACTTCAAAGTTCGTTCTTTCAACTGAAAGACGCCCTGAATAATATCACTGGTAGGTACAAAGTTGTCATGAGATAAATTGGTTTCAGTAATCTCTGAAATAGATATATATCTGTTGTCCAGGCATTCTATAAAGTTGTGTTGTTGGAGGTTGACCTCTTTCGGGTGGACTTTTTGTTATTGTTAGCTAGTATTGTTCTTGTCAGTTCTTGGTGAAACATGATTGAAAGATTGTGATGACTCATCTGCTACAATTCTACAATCGCAGTATGTTATTGTCTTATGTGGGTTGAGAAAGGGAGAATTATAGTGTACCAAAATTTTGAAAGTATCAGCGCAAATGGAAAGGGATATATGCAAATGAAAGTGAGAAATTCTTTTTGTAGAGTTAAGTTGTAATAGCAGAAGATAATTTTTTATTTCAATTTAAAAGATATCTTGCTATTTATTGAGAGACTTGAGAGACAAAAAATCCCCTCAAAAACAGTATGCTGCCAAGCACAAAATTGAGACCATATATCTACAAAACTTTCTTATATAAGTTGTTTTTCCTTGAACATGCAGTTTGAAGCCTTAAAATTAATAAAATAAATGTGAAAGTTAATAGACAAACTGTGTTTTCCAGATCTTAGTGATATAGAACCTAATGCATTCCTGAGCCCATTCCTGGAGGTGATTCGCTCTGAGGATACCACAGGTCCTATAACTGGACTGGCCTTGACGTCGGTCAACAAGTTTTTGTCTTACGGACTTGTGGGTGAGTGTATGTTCTGACTTATATTATTTATAGAACTGATCTTGTCTCTCCTATGGAGCATATCTGGTGTCAGGAAAGTCGAGGTCAGAAGGGAGAGAAGTGGTACTCCGGAAGTAGTACTTCCTCTATGTCTACCACCCAGGCAAAGCTGTATCATGTATACATTTTGCTGTAAGATTTTCTGTTAAAACGCAAACACCATGGGATTTTTTGAAAGAGGGGTATATTATTCAGTGAATATTTTCACATTTGTTGCCACTCCTTCAGCCAGCAACTCGCATCACCTAGGGGTACATAGCAAGGTAACAGGATGAAAAAGCTTTTATAGAGACTTCGTGTATTTTTTAATGTATGAGGTTTTTATTGGGAGAATGATGTTAAAGATTGTGTATAACAGTGCCATGTTGTTAGACAGATTGGGGTTGAAGAGCCATGGCACGTCTACTTTGTCTTTGTGATGACATTTAGCAACAATATTGTCTTTTGTTAGCTCTCACTGGCAAAATTGAAGACAAGCGAGGCAGGGGTAGGCCCAGAACCATCTACTTGGGAACCTAAACGAATGGGTAACAGGGAAAGATCAAGAAAACGTAGCTTTTTTTTAGAGCATCTGAGCAAAGGAATGAATGGAGAACCATGATCGCCGATGTCTCGCAGATCTGGCACTGGATGATGATGATTGTCTTTTGTACCTCTCAGTACCAGCGTTTTGGTTAGCTGATAGGTGCTGTGCTGTAGCACGCAGGAGACCCAAGTTTACTTCACAAGTGGGGAGAATTTTTATGGAAAATCTTGATCTTTTGGCTGAGGTGTTGTATCCCTCTCAGCTTAGGTTGGCCCTGAGAGAGGCAGGGTCGGAAGCCCACCTCCTAATCGATCTAAATTGTGCCAATGGGGATGTAAAAATTTCTACATTTTATTTTACCTTTCATAACCCAAGTAGAGAGATTAAATTTTACTTCCTGGATTTTTGTATAGTCAATGGTCAATCGCCATCCTGAAATGTTTAAAAAAAAATAATTTCCTCATTCCCGTTTTTTGTTTCAGATCCTGCTGCGGAGACTTCTGCAGCTGCCATAGAAAACATCGCTGATGCTGTGACCCATGCCCGCTTTGTGGGCACAGACCCTTCCTCTGACGAAGTGATCCTCATGAAAATTCTTTATGTAAGATGCCCTCACTATGTTCTTTATGAAAATTCTTTATTTAAGATGCCCTCACTATGTTCTTTATGAAAATTCTTTATGTAAGATGCCCTCACTATGTTCTTTATGGAAATTCTCTATGTAAGATGCCCTCTCTTTGTTCTTTATGAAAATTCTCTATGTAAGATGCCCTCACTATGTTCTTTATGAAAATTCTTTATGTAAGATGCTCTCACTGTGTTTTTTATATAAATAATTGTTTTAGAATTAAGGTTTTCTTTATCTTTTGTAATCGGTAAATGTGTTGCTTAATAATTTTCTCGTCACTCAGTTTATTACAGTGCTGAATCTTTGCCGTGGCTCTTTGCATGAAATCTTAGGTTTTTTTCCTTTGATTCGGGTCGTCTCACAGTGTGTAATTTCGTAGATTTGTTGCTACAAATTTGAGAGTAGTGTTTGGGATATTGTCACATATTGTCAAGAATTTCCTTATCTGAGTTTGTGCTACAAAGGTTGTTCTTTGGTCTTAATTGAGTAATGATAAAGAATATGTTGACACTTTGCCATCACAAGGCTCATACAGTAAAAACCCGTGCCATCAAAGGCAAAGGCATTTTAGGGAAAATCCAAAGAAACTGGGTGGTAAACATCGCCGATCGGCGAGATGTGACGGCAAAGTGTCAAATTTACTACTAGTGCCACATACTAGAAGGGCACTTTTGTAAATTTTTGTAATCCTCATTTTTGTTCGTTCTTCTACAGGTTTTGCGCACATTGCTTCTATGCAGAGCTGGAGTGCTCCTTACAAATGAGTCAGTGTGTGAGATAATGCAGTCTTGCTTCAGGATCTGTTTTGAAATGAAGCTCAGTGGTGAGTCATCATGTTTTAGAAAGGAAAAAAATAATACCTATTGCTAATTGTATGTGCTTGTGTGTGCATTTTAATTGTTATGTTACTTGCAGACTGATCATGTAGTCTTTTTATTCCTCACGGATATTAGCTTTGTTTAAGTAACCTTAACGTTGTGTTATATGAGAGCTGAGATAATCTCATGTGAGGCAGGACTGAACTCATTCTTTCTTCGCAATGTGTGAAAAATTAAGCAACTAAGGCCATTCTCGAGGTGCTTACAAACAATAGATTCTCTGTAAGGCTGAAGAGTGTAAGTTTTCTATAGCTCATTGAAACTGCTTGCTTTCCTTCATTTTAGCACAATGTAGTTTTTAAAAATTTTTGTTGTTGTAGAAGTATTATATTTTTCGTATTCTCCGTGCGTGGAAAAAGAAATTTACAGATGTGTAAAGGGTGACTGTGTGTTCGTCACAATTTCAGTATAGCATGAGCCTGGAAGGAAATGCTCAGTTTTCTGTTTTTCTCATTCTCTTCCAGAATTGCTTCGCAAGTCTGCCGAAAATACTCTCAGGGACATGGTTCAGTTGTTGTTTACCAGACTGCCCTATTTTAAAGAGGACCCAAAATGGATTACAAACATCAACAAAAAGGTAAAAGTTTTTCATGAGCACCGCATAGTTCATTTTGACTCACTTAGGGCTTGTCAGTAAACAGAAATAAAATATTAACTTTCAATTGGTCGTTTTTAAGGACATGTGGACTATCCCGAAAAATGCTGTTTTGAGAAAATCAAAAGTGAAGTTTTTGCCCCTTGTTCAGTTTCATTAAAAAACAAGGAGACTTTTATCAATAACCAAACAAATATACACACCAATGAAACCAAACTTCTCCTATAGGTAGGGCAATGCCCACTTTTGATGCAGGTCAAGATTTCTGGAAACACCCGAAATCTGGGTTAGCCTGCATGTCCTTAAAAGCGACCAACTGTTATCATCTTTTGAAACTGCTGTGGGTAGCATAATAATCAAATGATATTCGCCATACTTTTGAATGTGAAGAATGTTTGATTGGCATTCATTGTTGTAGTAAATAGTCTTGCAAAAGCATCTTTTTATTTGTATTCATATAAATCTTTTGTCAATTTTTTCTACTGCATTATGCAACTTTAAAACCACCTCCTTTTTTGTTACATATAATAGATGTGCAAAATTTTGAATGGGCAGCTTATTGATTTGTTAGTGAAATCACCATACCAGGCTTGTTAAATGTCCACATTTTATGGGGGGTCTGTCCTGGATTCTGGAATTTGAAAGAACGATTTAGCCTACATCAAATCAGTGCCACTTGATGTGATTTTGTTGGCTTTATAATCTGTTGTTATGCTGTTGGGTGTCCCTGATTTATTTGTTTCGATAAGTGTTCTACAGCGCTTGCAACTGCATAAGGTCATAATAATAAATAATAATAAATAGCTTTTGTATAGCGCATGTCCCCACTCGAAAGCAAGCTCTATGCGCTTTACACTATATTATTACCCCAGCAGACCATAGAATACTCAGAAACATTCTCAGCTTGCTGGGAAGCATACAATGCAAGCAGATGGTTAAGTGTTTTCACTGTCTATATCTGGGTATCCGTTTTCACCTGGGTGAAGTTGGGAAAATTCGTGTAAAGTGCCTTTCCCAAGGACACAACGTCGAGCCTGCGGTTCGAACCCCCGAACCTTCAACCTCACGATTACCAGTCCGGTAGCCTAACCACTAGGCCACCGATGCCACATATGAGCGCGCTGGGTGGGGGGAGTGTGGCAAGCCTGCTGTACACCACAGGGTTTTTAGTCCTTTGTCAGCAAGGTCTCTTCTTCAGTTTCAAGTGGATTGCTTTAAATTTTAAAGCCTTTAGAAACAAAATTTGAATTGTGAAGTTCAAGTTGGATTTGAAACTTTTTTCCTCAGCTAAAAATGCGAACTGGAAGTGTGGATCCAGCGCGCATGGGGAAAAGGAAGAAATCTCCCAAGCCAAAGTCAAAAAGAGCCCACGGCCCCAGCCAGCCGTCGTCAGACATGGCCCAGTCCCAGCCGACAATAGCAGAAGCAGCAGAGAACCTGCCAGCAGATGCCGACACAGCCACCGCAGAGGTCAGCGCTGAAGGTCAGTCGCAGATGGAGAACTCCGTGTTTGAGCACATCATGGCGGAACGGCTCGCCACCACGCCCGGCTACGCCTTGGAAGAGGAGCCGTATGATGTGGAAAAGGTTTTCAAGGTAGAAATTGTTTCGACTTTTAGTACTTAAACTTTTTCATCCGTGTTTTGTTTTAGTACATATTTTACGGCGCTCGCAGCTGCATAAGGTCATATGAGCGCCATTTTTCATCTTTTAGTTTTTCGTCTTTTGGAAGTTTTACTGAATAAGTGTCGCAATGTTGATTTTGCAAGAAAGCTTTGCTCTTTGGGGGGGGGGAGGGGTGGTGGTTAAAAATTCTGCAAGTACAATACTTCTTTGTTTTGGATTACTTTTATTTCCGAACATGTGTTTTCTTCTTGAATAGCCTGGTTTGATTTTCTGAGACAAAAGTGTTTTTACACGAAAGTCAGTTTAAAACAAGTATTGATTTGTTTCATGATTTATGTCAATAATTATCTTTGTATTGGTGAAAACTTCTGCTGAAAACTTTTTTTTTTTCTCTAGTAAGTTGCATTATAACTTGTGTTCATTTTTGTTGTTTTTTTGTTACCACAGTCTGCGGCATCGTCGGAGGAAGCAAAAAGTGACATGCTTAATGAGAATGCGGTTGCTAAAGCTGTGAGAGAGAATGATCAAAAAGAGGACGCCAGCGAGCCATCCAGTCTGCCCGAGGACCCGCCCTCTGATCCACACCACGTGGGAGTCGGGGCCGATCTGCCCATGAGGGTGAGTTGTTGGGACCGATCGGGACAATGTGATAATGTCACTGGTTTGCCAACTCGCTACCTCAGAATTACAACGTTCTGTCTACTCAGTACCTTGTTTTGAGAAATTTGATGCTAAAGATTTTGAGTGGGTGGTTAGCGGGTGCTCTGGTGTGGTTTGCTCTTTCTTTCCTATCAAACATCTATTGTCTTTATCTCCCCTCCTTCTGTTTTGTCATGAGCCTGGACATGTTCTTATGCACCGTAGAATTGTAATTGTAAATGGGCTGATTCATTGACGTCATGCTCATAACTGTGCCTGAACTGCAACAGGGAACTGCTGCTTTTTCTTTCCTAATTCTTACTATCGTCATTTTCCTTTACTTCACACTCTTGTGACCCGCTTTATCTGGGGTGCCTTGATAGTCGAAGCAGACTTTGTGCTGTTGGAGCTAGAGAGGTGAGCAGAGTAAGCCTCATTCCCTGTAAGGACTTCTCTGTTGACATCCACCCCTTGGAGCTCATATGACCTTATGCAGTTGCGAGTGCCGTAAAACCTCTTCTGTGTATGGTTGGCGGTTGCTCTGGTGTGGTTTGCTCCTTCTTTCCTATCAAACTTCTATCGTCTTTATCTCCCCTCCATCTTTTTCGTGTTTGCTACTCTCTTGTAACACCTCTAATCTGCGGCACTTATATGACTTTATTGTGTTTCAAATGCCGAACAACACTGACTAAAACTAACTGACCTTATGCAGTTGCGAGCGCCATAAAAACTCTACTAAGCTAACTTATCCTTTTCTCTGCGACTGCGTGCCTACAGAAAGCGATGAGTGACACGGACTTGTACGCCAGCGAGCAGAACGGGGAGGGAGACAACTGTGATGACAACGAGTCTGTGCACTCGACAGACACGACGTCCACCCAGGACAGCGAGTTCATCAACCCTAAGGGCGTGCGCTTCACCCAGCAGCAAGCCACTATGGAATGTGAGTTGTTACTTGCTGTAGTAGATAGTTACACAGTAAGACTTATAGCAAGCCACTATGGAATGTGAGTTGTCACCTGCTGGAGTAGATAAGTACATTGTAAGACTTGCTGCTAGTAAGACTTGCTGCTAGTAAGACTTGATGCTGTAGTAGATAGTTACATAGTAAGACTTATAGCAAGCCACCATGAAATGTGAGTTGTCACCTGCAGGAGTAGATAATTACATTGTAAGACTTGCTGCTAGTAAGACTTGCTGCTAGTAAGACTTGCTGCTAGTAAAACTTGTTGCTGTAGTAGATAGTTACATTGTAAGACTTATAGCAAGCCACTATGGAATGTGAGTTGTTACTTGCTGTAGTAGATAGTTACACAGTAAGACTTATAGTGAGCCACCATGGAATGTGAGTTGTCACCTGCTGGAGTAGATAGTTACATAGAAAGACTTGTTGCTGTAGTAGATGGTTACATAGTAAGACTTGCTGCTGTAGTAGATGGTTACATAGTAAGACTTGCTGCTGTAGTAGATAGTTACATAGTAAGACTTATAACGAGCCACCATGGCATGTGAGTTGTTACTTGCTGTTAGTAGTAGATAGTGGGTGGTTGGCGGGTGCTCTGGTGTGGTTTGCTTCTTCTTTCCTATCAAACATCTATCGTCTTTATCCCCCTGCTTCTTTTTTGTGTTTGTTACTCCCTTGTAACACCTCTAATCTTCGGCACTTATATGACATTATTGTGTTGCAAGTGCCGTAAAACTCTTAGGATGTAGATAGTTAGATAGGAAGATGTGATAGCAAGCCACAATGGAATGTGAGTTGTCACCTGCTGTAGTTACAGATAGCAAGACTTGATAATGAGTCTTTCTTATTTACAATACTCTGTTGTTCATAATGTGATCTGCGTATCATCAACAAGTCTGCAAGCAACATCAGAGAGCCTGCCTGCCAACCACCTATGTAGTTTTTTTTTAGATAACCTAACTCGATACACATAGTTTGTCAAATGAATTGTGTCGAGAATGTATTGATAAGTTACATTTTACTATGATCTTACCTTTCATTTGACAGAAGATGTGTATCGAGTTAAGTTATCTTACCTTTGACTATAAAATTACCTTTGACCCTAATCTTACCTTTGACTATAATCTTACCTTTGAGCCTTTTTTCGAGAGCGTATAATTTATAAGTTTCATTTGACCCTAATCTTACCTCTGACCCTAATCTTACCCATGACCCTAATCTCACCTCTGACCCTGCTCTCTCCCCCGTGTAGCGGGTGGCCCCGTGCCGCTGATCCCCTACGGCCTCCCGTGCGTGCGGGAGCTGTTCCGCTTCCTGGTGTCGCTGACCAACCCGCTGGACCGGCACAACACGGACGTGATGATTCACATGGGCCTGAGCCTGCTGGTGGTTGCCCTGGAGACGGCCGCCGACCACATCAGCTCCTACAACTCTCTCCTCTACCTGGTCAAGGACGAGCTCAGCAGAAATCTCTCCATGGTGGGTGGCGCCGTAAGCGTAGCTGAGATAAGAGAGATGCAAAAAAATTCGGTCTAGATCTATACTCTCAAAACAAAATGCGCCTCGCGAAATATCACTTCCGGCACTTCCACTGTGGAGGACAGCTACGCAGATTTGTTTTGTTTCTCAGTGGAATAATCACAAAGGCCAAAGACGGACGAGAACTTTTTTTCCAATATATTTGTCTAAATTTAGGAAATGAATGAATTTAAAAAATGGGCTCTGTCATGGGGACCTATCTTTTTGCAGGTACTTGCCAACTTTCAACTCTGTAGCTGTCATAGTTTTATGGGAAAAGTGACACATATGTTTCCAATTTGCCATATATATAATAGATATTGTTGCCAACCAGTACTTACCACACATATTACTTACATTTTTGAGGGTCTGAGTATTGAAGTCTGTTTTCTTGATGGGGGAAACATGGGTTCTGTTTTCTTGTATATTGTTGTTTCTCATGGATTTATCGATGCTGCCGACACGTTTTGAACTTGTGCCATGTTGTGTTTTTGCAGTTGCTGCAGTCAGAAAGGATCTCCTTGTTTGCTGCTTCCTTGAGGCTCAGCTTTCTGCTGTATGAGTCCATGAGGTCTCACCTCAAGTTTCAACTGGAGGTAAAGTATTTGGGGCTGTTTTGAATAATTACACAGTTCTGGAGGTAAAGTATTTGGGGGTGTTTTGAATAATTACAAAGTTCTGGAGATAAAGTGTTTGGGGGTGTTTTGATTAATTACAAAGTTCTGGAGGTTAAGTATTTGGGGGGGGGGGGTTGAATAATTACAAAGTTCTGGAGGTAAAGTATTTGAGGCTGTTTACTCACTACTTTTGAATAATTACACAAAGTTCTGTCGGACATATTGACTTTTTTTGAGTGAGGCCTTCTAAGACCATGAGGTCACAAACCAAATGTTCTATCTGCTCTATCGAAAGATTGTAAGATTATTCAGTCGTTATCAAGATGTTCAAAGAATTGCTTTAGAAAAAGCTTGACATGTAAAACTCACTATTTTTTTACATCAAATTTCGCAAAACAAGGTTTTGAGCAGAAGGAACTTTGAAATTCTAGGGTATTATAATGTTATTGCTGTTTACTTTCTTCCTCTTCCTCCCTGCCCTTGTGTTTTGCCTCCACATTAACCCTATCCGTACGCCTGGGGTCATGTTGTAACCCTGGTAATGTAATGACGTTGTCCAGAACGTTCACCTGTCCGAGACAACCATTTTTCTCCCTGACTATGAGAAGCCGTCCTGAATAATTTCCACAGAATTTTGTTGGGTATGGGATTGATGCTTAATTCTACATAGCAAAGTCGTTTAAGATGTGGTACTTCTCATTTGATTTTCATCCACAAAAAGTAAACATATGTTGGGCTTCATACAAGAATCATTCCACCCTGAAAAAAAAATGAACAAAACCTTTCACTCTTTCAGGATGGAATTTACAAGATGTAATATATATGGAACTAACTGGCTACGGGACGGATCTATAAGGGATGTGTTTTTATATGGATGTAAAAGAGGTTGAGCCCAAAAATAACAATTTGATAAAAATTTCCTAACTTTCGAAACAAAATCTGTTTCTCCGAAATCTGTATTTTGTCGAGGGCCTGATTTCACCACGCTGCCTCACATATGTTATAGGTTCGACTGTATATATATTGACACCTCACTGTTTACACTCACATTCTCTCGTCACCTTATGCTGTTGCAAGCACTGTAAAAAACACTTACCAAAAAATTATCTCATCAAACGAACTTCTCCTTCCTCAGAATTACCTGCTCCGGATCAGCGACATAATCGTGTCGGACAACCCCAAAATCACGTACGACCACCGGGAGATCGCCCTAGACCTGATTGTCCAGCTGTGGCGTATCCCGGGCCTGGTCACCGAGCTGTACCTCAACTACGACTGTGACCTGTACTGCTCCAACCTGTTTGACGACATGACCAAACTGCTCTCCAAGGTCAGATAAAAAGATTATGTCCCTTTTATACCATTGAAAGCGTGGTATTATTTTGTATTTGCTGCTGGGCTGGGAATTGTAGAGTGAGAGATAAAGAAAAATTTGACAGAACCTTTGAGAAAGCCAGCAAGATCTCTGGATATGATTTTACTAGAATTGATGAAATGTATAACACCACAAGTATAAAAAAGATAAAAAGCATTATAAATATAACTCCAGAGGTCTTGTAATTAAATTCCTGCATGTGGTTGAATGATGCATCTGATGTGATATGTACATTTTGTCAGCTTTACTTCTCTTTTCATATTAAAGTTTAATGAGAGTAATATATAATTTAAACTTTTATGTATATCTGCATGTGTTTTTACGGTCTTGTACAGCCAAGAAAAATTTCCCTCTGGGATAATAAAGTATTATCTTATCTTATCTTATATCTTATATATGACGTTGGTGAATCAGCCCATTTGCAATAGCAATTCTACTGTGTATGGCATAAGAACATGGTTAATGTCCCCCCCCTTTGGGAAAGGCCTAAAGACACTTCAGTCAGTGGCACTGCCCGGGGGGGGGGGGGGGGGGGTGACTCTAGGTGCTTCAGAAACAAAGAATGGCCAACCCCCCCCCCCCAAATTGTATTTTGACTTATCTTGTTTGGTGCACAGAAAAAAGGATGATAAAAAAACAGACAAAAAAAACTAATTGTATTTTGTACCTATTTTGTATCGTGCCCAGAATGCGTTCCCGGTGTCGGGCCTGTTCACCATACACCTGCTGTCGCTGGACGCCCTGCTGACTGTGGTGGACAGTATAGAGCAGCACTGCCACAGCCGCACGCTCGCCACCACAGGCGCCAAGGTGCTCGCTGACTCCAACGCCTCCCACCGACCCGCGGACACTTTGTCTGGTACGTTTGTGTCCCTTCTCATGCCCCTGGTCTCCTTTGTTTGTTTTAGTAAGAGTCTTACGGCGCTCGCAACTGCATAAGGTCATCTCCTGACTCCTACTTTTTACATACAGTCAAACTTGCTGCTGTAATGGCCACCTATATAAGGCAGTCACCTGTACAAACGGCCCTGTGGATGGTTGGCGGGTGCTCTGGTGTGGTTTGCTCCTTATTTCCTATCAAATATCTGTCGTCCTTATCTCTCCTCCTTCTTTTTGGTGTATGTTACTTTTTTGTAACACCTCTAATCTTCGGCACTTATATGACCTTATTGTGTTGCAAGTGCCGCGAAACTCTTACTAAAACTAAAAGCAATCACCTGTACAAACGCCCACTTCTTTTCTTGCACACACCCCCCCTTCCGCCATTCTTTTTTTAAAAAAACAGTATAATGTTTGTTTTTTGGATCTATTGATCTATTGATGTCTTCTGCTTCATTTAAGATAAAAATAAACAACTATAATCGACTAAAAAAAACAACATTATAATGACACAGTGTAAAACCTCCACTTTTCTAAAAAAACAACAACAGGTGGTCGTGTCTTGACAATTTGACTGTATTTCGCTTCTTTTTTTTTCTTGTTGGCATCGTTTAGCATGCATAGGTTGATATGATAGGAGTAATTCTTTATTTTTTTAAATCAAATATCTCAAGACAAGCTTTGTTCTACTATTGTCAGATCTATGAAATACTTCGTGTCACAAACAAGAGTGAAGGTTACATAGAGCTTGATGGTCATAATGCTTGACTGGACCTACAACCTCTTAATTGGTCGCTTTTAAAAGGACACACGGGCTAACCCAGATTTCGGGGGTTTCCAGAAATCTTGGTCTACACCAAAAGTGGGCATTGCCCTACCTACAGGAGAAGTTTGGTTTCATTAGTGTGTATATTTGTTTGGTTATAGAGAAAAGTCTCCTTGTCTTTTAAAGAAACTAAACAAGGGGCAAAAACTTTACCTTCAATTTTCTCAAAACAGCATTTTTCGAGATAGCCCCCGTTGTGCTTTAAAGCGACCAATTCTTCGATGTCTTTATTTATTTTCAGATTCCAAAGGAGGTGTGAAGGGAAGAGATATACGAAAGGGACCCATCATCAAACCAAATCGGATGGTGAAAATGACCAGCAAAATTCCAACAAGAGAAGAGCTGGCAGAGCTGAAGCAAAAGAAAAAGGTAGGCACATTTTAGAAAAAGAGGACCTGCCTGATATTGATAAGACTTTACATTAACACATTCAAAATTGTTAAGAGCTGATTATTGATATAATTATAGAACCGTCCAATATTGTCTCATTTTCAGATTTACCAAATCGCCACGGAGAAGTTCAACATAAAACCATCCAAAATTGTCTCATTTTCGAACAATTCCATTTGTACGAAATTGTCTCGTTTTTCAGATTTACCAGATCGGCACTGAGCAGTTCAATATAAAACCCTCCAAAGGCCTGCAGTACCTCCAGGAGCAAGGGCTGCTGTCCAAGCCTCTGAGCCCGACGGAGGTCGTGACCTTCCTCAAGGAGAACAACCGGCTGGACAAGAAGATGATCGGAGAGTACATCAGCGACAAGCGCAACAAGGAGGTTCTCGAGGCCTTCGTCAGGTAACGCACTCTTTTCAATACCGGTAACTCTTTGTGCCTTCGTCAGGTAACGCACGCTTTTAACTCGCTCCTTCTCACTCAATTTTCATTGAAAAGGCTGAATTGCCCGTCAGTTTTAAGGGTATTTAAAAAAAATCACCCTGACCAAAGTGATGAAGTGAAAGCCATGCTTTTGCCCATGTGATGAAAACAAGTGGATTCACTCTGGGAAAATAATATTGGACCTGGAATACTTTATGTTTGTGAATTTTGGTGATTTATTGTGTTCACCTTTGATTTTGATTATGTAAAGCCTGGAAACGGATAACACATTACACGACTTGAACAAGATGTAGCAAGATAAGTGTCGCCAAATCTGAGATGGTCACAGCAGACTTCACCACTTACTACTATGTTACCCTCTTATCTTTTCCTCTCCAGGTCTCTGAATGGGGGTAATTTATTTTAGATACCGTTGCTTTTGATCATGTAAAGTCAGGAAACGAATAACTCATTACATGACTTTGGCAAGATGTAATAAGATAAGTATGGCCAAATCTGAGATGTTCACAGCAGGCACCACCACCCACTACTATGTATAGTGCTGATGATTTTCTGCGGATCTGCAAATTTCCGCTTTTTGTGTTGTTTCCAAAGTATTACTTCAAATAAAAGGTATGCGTTATATTATTGTAGTTAGTATTAGAGTTCTATGTTGAAATTTCAGGATTGCTACGGTGTCGGAATATTTTCCTCTTTTTGACTTTTTTCTCATTATCAGCACTGTATGTAACCCTTTTATCTTTTCCTCTGTTTTCTCTCCAGGTCTTTCAACTTCGAAGACACCCGGGTGGACGAAGCTCTCCGCATGTACCTCGAGTCATACAGGATGCCAGGGGAGGCCCCGGTCATCTCGTGGCTTATGGAGCATTTTGCCGAACACTGGCATGTACGTTGTGTTTTTTGTTGTTTAAACAAAAGTGGTATTGTTAATCCTATCCCTACATCATGTTTTACTATCATACCCTATCAGTACGTCGTGTTTTATTATCCTATCCATATGACCTGGGGAACTCTGTGCCACCATTGTCCAGAGAGGAAATTTACTCGTTAATCCGATCCGTACACTTCTCATAGCAGTCTGTCAAAGTGATTTTTTGAGTAATACTGAAAGTTTCAAAGAGATCTTCGTACGAGAAGTATTCTAAAATTTGAAGAATACAACCCCTGGTGTACAAAATGACCTCCAGGCATACGGATAGGGTTAATACCTTTTGTGTTTTACCGGGTTTTATGAATTGGCTATGCACACTGTCTGATGCACAAAAGCTCTGAAATTTTTCAACTGATGTGCCCCCTATTTTTTGGGAGGGGGGTGTCATTGTTTTACTATGAGTAAGTGAAACATCTGTTGTGTTTTGTCACATTCGTGAAATGAGTCTGTCAAGCTTGAACTCATTCTTGCATTTACCCAATACTAGTTCCCTTATTTTTTTTACATCAAACTATTTCTTTAAAAAAAAATAAAAATTACAGATTTAAAAAAACCCCAGGTGTTAAATATTTGTGATGCAGGACATTTTCTTGGTGTTTCAAATACCCCCCCCCCCCCCCCCCACCAATTAACCACCCTTATAGAAGAGACTATACTAATTGTTTAAAACAACATCGATTGAGAAAAAAAGAGGGTTTTTGTTTTTTTTCGTAACTCGCAATTTCAGTGGTGTCATATTATTCAAACTTTGCTCTTTTGACTGCAGAAAAGTAACGGAGATCCATTCCACAACGTTGACGCGGCCTTCACCCTGACGTATGCCGTGATCATGTTGAACGTCGACCAGCATAACCACAATGCCAAGAAACAAAATATTCCAATGAACCCAGAGGTAAGTCACACTTAGATAAGAAAGAAAATATTCCAATGAACCCAGACGTAAGTCACACTTAGATAAGCCAAGAAACAAAATGTTCCAATGAACCCAGGCGTAAGTCTTACTTACATAAGCCCAGAAACAAAATATTCCAATGAACCCAGGCGTAAGTTTTACTTACATAAGCCCAGAAACAAAATATTCCAATGAACCCAGACGTAAGTCTTACTTACATAAGCCCAGAAACAAAATATTCCAATGAACCCAGACTAAGTCACACTTAGATGTTGTTGTTGTTTTCAAATCCCTTTAGCTGCGAGCATTTCGCTCTTGGCAGCGCAATGCCTCCCTCAAGTAACCACATATCTTTGTCATCTGGTCAGCGCCAGAGATCGCACTTAGATAAGCCAAGAAACAAAATATTCCAATGAACCCAGATGTAAGTCGTCACACTTTGATAAGTTTAGCTTCAGATATTGTCAGTGGGTGGTTGACGGATGCTCTGGTGCGGTTTGCTCCTTCTTTCCTATCAAACATCTATTGTCCGGATCTCTCCTCCTTCTTTTTTTGTGTTTGTTACTCTCTTGTAACACCTCTAATCTTCGGTACTTATGTGATCTTATTGTATTGCAAGTGCCGTAAAACTCTTACTAAAACTAAAACTAAAACTAAAAAAGATATTGTCAATGTCAGACTCCACACCTGTCTACATAAGTGAAAATTGATTTTCAGAAAAGTGTGTTTGTGTATGTGTGTGTGTTTGTGTGTGTGTGTGTAATTTCTTTCTTATTAATTTTTAGTAATTGATGATGTTCCCAACCTGCTTTTGAGAAGAACTGCACTGATGAGTTCTATAAAGTTCCTATTGTTGTCTGTTATATAATAACCCTCATTTTGTTATGAATGAGACATTTAAAAAACAAACAAATGATGTTGTGACAGCTTATAACAAATTATTTTTGTATAAAAACATTTTTCTCCAGGATTTCAAGAGAAACGTCAAAGGGGTGAACGGAGGTCAAGATTTTGATCAGGACATGCTGCAAGAAATTTTCCAAGCTATAAGGTTAGATCTAGCGATGTTGTTTTGTCCAGTCATGCTCTGCTAGGTTTTCGGGAACACTTTTTCTACATTGTTTGCTTTTGTGAAGTACACATCACTTTTTGTAAACCTTGTTGTGTTGCTGATTTCAAGGGAACTGCTGCTTTTTCTTTACTGATCCTTACTATTGCCAATTTCCTCTACTTCTTTTGTATGTTTGTCACTCTCTT